GCATTCTGCGGTCACGGTCCTTTATTCGGATCGCCTACGCAGACCGGAATTTGGTGGAACCTAGCCGAAAGCGAATTTTACAAATGGTTGACCTAATATCGCAGAGTCGCGGAAAATTAACCAATCAGAAAACGAACGAATGAAGCTTTTACGTCATTCCGAATTTTCACCACACCGCAACTGTGTCAAAATTATTAGTAGTGCAAATATAAACATCATTAATGACAAAAAATATGTCACTAATGGGAAAGCATTACCGATGGAAAGAAGCAGACAGTATGATTAATACCTTTACGAATGAGTAAGGAGTGCAAAAATACAAACATAACGATAACAGTTATCTCACGTTATTAATTTCTGCTAGAAGAATAGCAGAGCTATCTCTCGCTCGAGTGACTGCACCGTGTGATAACTGTCACGTACAAATACCTGGATATTAATCATTGGAAGACAATGTTTTATTGTACACTTTTCTCATATATATATATATAAATCACTTATGCATTTTCGTAAAAACCATGTTTAGTTGTTCAATAGGAAAAGGATAAACGTTAAACTAATAATGTTGATCTTATATATATATATAATAATGAATATCGAGTATGATTTGATTAAAAAGATAGCAATATTAAAGTTACATTAGGAAACGTGAGTAATCAAGTATTAATTAACATGCACTTTGATCTCGGTGTGAATGCTCTAATTAAAGAAATACGATACGATACGATACGATACGAACGTCGAGTCAAAGGGTTACGGTATAAGCGCGGTGGCCGACAGTGTAGCGAGAGGGAGCTTATTTTTAGAGCTTTGGACGGACATGATAAATTTACGCAGACAAGCCGGCACCTGTCACAGGCACGAAATATATCGATTTACGAATGGACCACGGAGTTTTCCAGAGATATAGACATCCAATTACCTCATGAAAGAAACAGGCGCGGCTGTTATAAATATAGCGTTCGATAAAATCCCGGACGACATGCAATATTAATGTAATTTCTCGAGGAGACACACTATTGTAAATTTATACGCTGCTGCTATATTGTCTTGTATATGCTACTACTGTTTATTTGTTAGACATAACTGAAGAAAGAGATTTATAGATTCAACTCTATCAATAGTGTAAAAATGGACGAATATTTGTTAAAAGATTTGAAATATCAGAATATGCTTTTTAGCTCCATCGAATTTATAAACATCAAATATCATAAATATCAAAAAATATAAACTGTTTAAGTTTCAATCTAATATATGATCTAAAAATCTAAAAATGAGTCTATGCGTGTACACACATGTACGAGGGAAGTTAATCATGCACGGAGGGAGAGGAATACGACGTGAACAGTCACCGCAAAATTAAAGTCTCTTGGGAATGCGGAAAATTTCACGATACGAACGCGCGACATTAATTGCGAGTTAACAGCTCGATCGATACACAAAAATACGATACACAGGTGCACCGCGTTATTACAGTGCACATTTTTACGCGCGCATCGATATATGTTACATAATGATGGTGAATGTAGTAAGCTTGAGAAATAAGCTTTTAGAAATATAAATACCTATATTTATATTAATAGATATAAAGTACAGTTAAACTAAGGAAGTTTTTTTCAACATTTAACAAAGTTAAGATACTAAGTAATTTAAGTAGCATTATATCAGATGGAAGAAACGTGACGTAAGCAGAAAATCTGCTAAACCTTGCAAATAATATCGAAACCAAACATTAATGTCTGGCGTTAGTGGTCAACGAACAAAAATATTTAATTACAAGGCTCATAAAGTTAGTAACATTATTAACCAGCGTTTACATATGCGCACGGCACTCGATAAAATTGCATGATGTAATAGCAGAATGGCAAGCACAAGATTTGTTACACATGTTTCATATGGCAAACAATGAGATTTCATAAAAAACCAATGTTTCTGTGAACTATTTTAGTCCTCAAAATATTTAGAAAATATTGTATAAAGCCATGTGCAAATGAATAAATTTTGATGTAACGTTTGAGTAACCTAGATTTCAATTAACTACGAAAGCTATTTCAACACAAAAAAATGTGTATTTTTTTCTACCCAAAATTATTAATTTATTAGCCTAATATTTATTTATCAAAAAATACTTTGCATATTTATATATAATATTGCACGATAAATTTAATAATTTGTTAAAAAAATTAAAAAATTTTATTGTATCTTACGCTATTTAAATATATATAGCATTATAAAAATTGCAAATATACACTGAGGAATATCAATTCTGCGGTAAACGCAAGATATAATGCGACATACATGAGATATGATAATACCGGCTTACGTAACGCAAGCGAAACGGCCACAGAGGAAAGAGAATAAGAGACGGTTGGAAATGAGGGATTGTGGCTGCGCGTCGGAAAACCAGCCGGTGAGATTGATGAGTCCGTAAGTGAAAGGGTCGAAGCGCACGCGAAAGCGCTCGGATGCGAAGCGAATTCTTTTTCCGAGTTTCGCAAATAAAAAGCGAACGTGTGTGCATCACATCACCGTGAAAAACCTAGCGAAGTAATTAAACGCGCGAGTAATTATATGCCGTTAGCTTCGACCTCGTCGAATCATGATTTTCTGCCCGTGCGAGTTGGCGAGTTTGGTGTTTTCGATTAAAAATCGATAGACAAAGAAGAAAGAAAAGCCAAAAGCAAAACTTAAACTTGCACTTCTCGCTCCGTTTGTAAACATATGCAAGTGTAATAGGATAGTAAGAGCGATGATTTGTTTCAAGAACGATAGTTTATTCCAAGTTTCATAAAATCAAAGATTTAATTAAGAAGAATTAACATCTCTCTCTCCAAGATTGTGTTGCATAACTTGTTTAACTTTTTAATCGTGTTATCGATTTTATTCCGCCAAAGATCTAAAAAATTATTTAAACAAAATTTATTTTTCTATGTGCGACATGTGTCTATCTTCTAGTAAAGACTGAATCAATGTTTCAGATATAAAGAGAACAAATTTCGAACAAGAACGCAATGGAAAGATGATACATTACTCGTGGCACGCATTCATTCGGATTTCACGGTGCTCGCTCGCACCGTGAAATGCACCGAGGACGAGAACGACGGCATTTTACATGCAGTCGGTCAGCGATATCAGAAACGCAGCGTGCACGTGACGGCTCGCGGCGCGGCAACGTCACGCGATTTTCGTAGGGGAAAAAAACAGCCATCCATTTCCGGTCGCGACACGCGGACTAATGGCATACGGCTTTTCATTACGACTATGCATCGTGCGTCGACTGCCAATAGAGCTTTCACCATCGCGCCGTATTTTATAGGACAAATATAAACAAATATCTCTGACTATAAATAGCGTTGCGGGAAATGCCAACGTAATAACTCACGAATCGGTTTCCTGCGCGAATGCTGGAGATCGATTCGCATTATATCTCGAATCGCCATTCGAGCAACGGTCGTAAAAAATTTATTAGTTTAACGTAATCAATAACTTATCGATATAATCGATCAATTGATATCTACCTATCAAATTTAGCATTAAACGTATCTAAAGAATTCCATGACTAATTGTCGCTTGGAAAAATACGCGAATCAAACTCTGACCCCATTTCTCAGAGAGAAGTCAGATTAATAAATTGATACCACAGCTGGCTGCACTTCTCTTGGCAGCGGGAATCTATTAGGCACAACATTTGGCATCTATGCGAGCCGCAAACTCCCGTGGATCTTTAACGTGATCGTAATTACAAAAGCGACATTACAAGCGACCGTGTCTGCGACGTCGACATCTTTTTGCACGCTCTTATTCAGAGTATTAAAGTAGGCTTTACTTAATAATAATTGGAACACTCATCAGATAAGATAAAAAAACATATCGCTAAACGTAATGGCGATGACTTTTAACAATCCTTTTGCTTGTGTTTCTTTTTGCGTATTTTCTGTGAATTGCGTACGACATACACAGAAAAAATGCACAGAAGACATTAACTTTTCGATTTTTACTCTTGTTATACGCGTCGCCCAAGGCGAAAAGCGTCGACGAGAATGAAGGTATCGATTGTCATACATGGCGATTATATATTCGATATCTACAGCAAGGAAGTATCTCTACGCTTCCTCTCAAACTCGTCATTCTATATGCGTGCGAAGACGTATCCGTTAAAATTTCATTCGTTTTATCGGAATTTTGCCAGGCAAAAGCAACGTTAGCTGCGCGCATCATGCCGACAATCACGAATTCGTAAAAGCTGTTTTATAATGTCTAGTCGGAGAAAATCAGCCATTGATTGACTCTTACTATTCTAACATATTGTTCACTTACCTTAATTAATTTATAATTTTCTATACAATATCATTAATCGTGTGTCGAACTGTTTATAGATTTCCATGCTGCATGTGACGTATTTTTTCTTATTTAAAATGTTTAGAATGTAAAATGACGGAAATTATCAAAATATCAAAGAATAGCAAAGAATATACTTAAATAAAATGGATATATTAACTAAATAATATTGATTTTTTTTTTAATTATTTTTGCTTAAAAAAAGACGCCCTATTTTTTATTATAAAAATTACAGTATCCAAGATGTCATTTTCTCGACCATTTTTTTATTTATATTACTAAATTTTCAAATAATTTCTGTTTGGCTTTTTAGACGAAATTAATTCTTAATGCCGAGCACAAATTGTAAAGAAATATTAGAGTATTATGTATTGAGTATGCAAAAAAAGATTTCAATATTTTAATATAATTTTGTCTAATTTCTCATTCCGCCAATTAATAGAATTATTATTCTATTATTATCACAAATTAAATATATTTTTGATGCAATAAAGAAAATGATATTTAAAAGATCCTATCTAAAATAAAATAAAACGTACAAACTCGGTATAATTAGAGAATAATTTCGAATAAAATCTTAGTAACCAGCTAAGAAAACACAGTAAAATCTTGAACGCGCCGGCGTTGACGGCAGCCAAGAGAGGGAAACAAAGAGTACTCACCAAGCCAAACACAATGTCTTGCCAAAAATTGCGAAGGAATCCCGCATTCCGAGCTGAACGGGCGAGTTCAGTGATCGACGACTCCTCTCGACGGACGATTACATAATTCTTCAGTCCTGTAGCTGCGATTACCAGGAGCTGGAAAGTAGAGTAAGAAGCAGGGTAGAGAAGATCCTCCGGTGATCGCTGCCAAAACACGGTCAAACGTCGCGCTGTGAGTCGCCGCGCGGAAAGTTTACGATCTCGCGCGCGTGACTGATCGTGGCGCCGTAAGAACGCTCATAAAACAACGACGGCGACGTTGACGTCGACATCGAAACAGAGAGAGAGAGAGTGAGAGTGAGCGATAGAGAGAGAGAAAGTTCGGCGA